TATAAATGTGGAGTTCTCTCTTCTTCTTCTTCTTACTCTCTTGAACACAGAACAAAATCCCTACTATTATCTAAATAAATCAGTCCATTTTTGTATTGCACTTATTGTAGAAATTCCTATGCAAAAACTATTGTTTTGTCGCTTTTCAAATGATGGTTCAATGGTTGATTTTGCTAGTGTAAAGGTTAGATCAACAAGGCACTTCATTGTATCCTATGGGCATTTTGGGTTACCTCTTTTGCATACTAGATCTGATGGGAGAGGAAAATTAGCCTAAAGGAAAGTGACATTTGCAGTATGTCTTGAAGCTAATGATCTATTTTCTAACCCCTAATCTTTAACAGTGAATAGCCTATTCTTGCTTGGTTGTGGTGGAGCAATGGAGTATGAAGGCCAAATATTAGACCTGACTGAGGTAAGGAGACAGTCCGATGGTTGGCAATGAAAAAGGCCTTCAATAGTGGTCATGACTGTGGTGGAGCTTGATATGAGGAACCTGGGCAACGACATAGGTCAAACAAGAAGTAAATCTCAATATGTGGAAACAGTGAGATTTTCATATTGATATCCTTAATTCTCTCTCTCTTCCACTCCTCCATTGGACCTCACCTTGACCTTTGACCACCTTCCTTCATCAATCCATTTTGAAAGAATTCCAAAAAAATCATCCAATGCTATCATCTTTCTCTAGTCAATTTGTTTTCCTAAAACAAACAAAGAAAACATCCATTCCCGTATCCAATTCCATCATCATCATCCTTAATTGAACCCAAAACATTTGGACGAATTGAAGTTGAAGAACCGCCACCAAAATCCCAATCTCGGTTTGTTTTTGTACATTCAAACAAACCCAAAAATCTAGCTTCATTACAAACCTAGAGATGAACATAATACTTCGTTTTAAGGGAACCTAGGTTCATGATGAACTCAATGAAAGGTTTACCGTGAACCCAGATCCTAGGTTTGACAAAAATTAGGTTTGTCATGTTTTAGACCCTAAAATGGAATATAAATTATACACTTGTAAGTGGAAATCAAAAGTACATCAGGCTCAAAATTCAATTAATTTATTATCCCAATGACCTAATAGTTTGAGTGGAAGAAACTTGGTTCTTCTCTTAGGAAAGTTTTGAATTTGAGTTTTATTAATAGAAAAACAACTGCTAGGAAAACTTCCTTTTATGAGATCTAATGCGACTCAATTACAAATTAAGTAAAGTCCAATGTAGTTTCCGAATACTGAAATATTAGTTCCAAAAAAATCAAGTTAATTTATTATGTAAAACCAAAACTAATAAATAAAGTTTGATAATACCTTAATTATTATTAAAAGTCAAATAATATTTAAATAAATACTTTTATGTCAAATTATACAATAATTGTTAATTAGGTCCTCCAACTTTTTAATATCAACAAATAAATTCAAAATCTAAATCAAATCTCAATTAAGTCCAGATTAAATCTAATAAGAAGTCGTCACACACTGTGATCCCTAACATCTAGACACTAATAATTTTGTCCCTTTCTTAAAAAATTTTTAGGCCTTAATGGCAACAAAATTTAATAATTATTGTTATATTATATTAGTAATTTAGTATTATCAAGAAACATGTCCTAGTTTCGTGTACTCTTTAATCTAAATAATAGAGCATGTTTGATAAGTTTTATTGAATTGATAACTACTCTTTGGCAAGAATAAATCTTTTTTTCGCTTTATTCTCGGATTAGAGATTTGAAGACAATTTATGATTTTATTCACAAAAATTTACTATAAGGGCTGGGCTTTATCGAATAACAAATGCAAGCCCAAATTCAGCCCAGAAGAAGCCACTTAACCCGAGCTTTTGTTATCAGCCCAATCTCCATTGTACTCTTATCTTCTTCATTCTGCTCCTACTTCTTGATGAACGATGATGGAGTCTCTTTCTGTGCTCCGTTCTTGTTCCCCACCCTTTCGAAGCCCTTCCAAAACCCCCAAGTTCTCCTTCTCCTCCTTCAAACTTATTCCCTTTCTACCCAACTCCATTTCCACTCACCAAGTTCCCAATTCTCGCCGGACCCATTTCCCCTCCACCAAAATAACCTCCTCTCCCTCTTCCTCCAGCCGCACAAAACGCCATCTTCAGAACCCACTTCTTCACTTAAACTGCTCTCGCTTTCTGCAAACAGCCAAATCCCAGCTTTGTTTCACACTATTCGACCTCTTTGCTTCATTTCCTAGCCTTGCCTCTGAGACTATTGTTTCCTCAACCGAGCCAGTGTCAGACAAGATAAACTTGGAAGCAATCTTGGTCTCAATTGATGATTTCTTCAACAGATACCCGTTTTTTGTTGCCGGGTGTACGTTCATTTGGCTTATTGTTCTCCCGCTAACTCGAGAGTACTTGAGCAAATGCAAGTTTATCTCTGCCATTGATGCATTTAGCAAGCTTCGTGAGGACCCTAATGCACAGCTTTTAGACATTAGAGACGCGGGGATTTTGACGTCGTTGCCATCCCCCAATTTGAAGATTTTGAACAAGGGTGTGGTTCAGGTTCAGTTCAGTGAAGGAGATGAAGATGGGTTTGTGAGGAAAGTTTTAGAGAACTTTCCAGATCCTGCTAATACTGTTCTTTGTCTTCTTGACAAGTAAGTGCCGGAATTAGCTTTGTAGTTTTTTTTTTTCAACATTGGTTATATTTTGAAAAACGCTTGCTTTGTACCTGTTTTAGTTGGTTTTGAAAGAGATTGAAAGATTGAACTAAGAGTGAGAATCCGGAGCATTTTGCTTCAGTTTATAGAAAGGTACCCTCTAGTGCAGGATTAGGTTTTTGAGATTGTATACTCGGGTTGGATTCTTTTAACCTGATGAGTTTGGTTAATCCAAGCTCAATGGAATTATGGAAATTTTGTATAATACGTGAAAACTAAAATCTCACTTGAAGAATTAGAACATACAAGTAAAATCACCATTGTATGACTCATGAAATGAAATATCATCGGAATTAATCCATCCTCGATATCTGGAGCATCATAATTATGTAATCTTTCCAACGAATGAATTGTCACATGGAAACAAATTAAAGAATTTTGCAAGTGGTCCATAACGCATCTTTGTTCCTTTTGTGTCCAAGGTAGTTTCGATGGTAGTTCCTTGAGAGCGGCTGAGTCATTGTTCAAGAGTGGTTTCAAAGAGGCTTATGCAATCAGGGGTGGAGTGCGTGGCAAAAAGGGGTGGGTGGTAAGTCTTTCCTTTCCTCGTTTTATAAAAAATTCTATAGCTGGGTGCAAGGTTTTTGCCATTGTGCAATCTAGAGAGCTATAGTTTTACTTTTTACAGCATGATTGCGTGATACATAGAAGGTGTGTTGATGAGTTCCTTGTACATCCATGTTTAATTCTAAGAGTGATGTTGCTTTTTTTGCAGGCAATTCAGGGGACCCTTTTGCCGTCTTCTGTCCATATTAAACCTAAAAAGAAGAAAAAGAAGAAGAGGGTTGATATTTCAAAAGATTTAGGGGTAAATGGAGGACTTAATCCAGGAACTAAAGATAACAAAGAGGATTCCTCATCTACAAGCATCTCTATAGTAGATAGCCAAAAGATGGGTGTTGAACATGAAGACAAGTCTATGAAATTAACACCAGATTTGCAAATTGGTTTGCATTCAAGTTCTCCTTATCCTAATGTATGATCTTTCTCTCTCTCTCTCAATCATCATAACAGACTAAATAGTTAACAATAAGTTATTATTGCTCCTTTGCCTGTTGCTTCTTTGTTGAGAAACTGACATCACACCTCATAACCTCATTCGAGAACTTGGATTTTGTAGGATCTCTTAATCATGACTTAATCATGACCCCCATATTTCCAATTTGATTACTTTTAAATGGCTATAAATCTCATCAAGAAGACGAAGGCATAAGTTTCATCTTATGCTTTTAAATGCAAGTAAAGAACCAGTTTTGTGCTTCTTGGATTGGTCATTTTCAGGACTCAATTACTTTACATTTTGAAGCTTACTGACATTTTCCCCTTACTCTTTCTTCCTCTGTTTCTTCAAAATAGTACCCAGATCTGAAACCACCATCTTCGCCAACTCCATCAAAGCCATGACAACGGTGCTGCGAGCATAACTTGATCTGAATTTGCACCATCCACTGGCTTGAGGCAACTTTTGTTTAAATTTGCAATTAACTATTTTGTCAAATTTTGATGGGACTGATTCTGTATCTTAATGTCACATTCTCCGAAAAGAAAAATAGTTAAAGAGTGCTCCTTTTCTGCCCCTTTGATGCGGCAGCCAATTCTAGAGGACTTATTAAGCACTGAATCCTGCAGAGCTGTTAATTTACTCTCTTGCCAAGTGTGTTGTGGTTTGAGCTACTTCGGCCCTAGTTTTTATTTAACAGTGATCTGGCAAGGTAGCGGATTTGTAGGGGATCATATGAGCCAAAAGCCTATTTTTAGTCTCTCATCTTATCAAGTTTGAATGTTTTAACTCTTCATCTTATGACACTTTTAACCCTTCATCTTACTAGATTTATAGGTTTTAGTCTTTCACCTTATATTATGACACTTTTAGCCTTTTACATATTTAAATTAAAGAAAATAACTCTCACTTTGTAACATTTTGTTAGTTCTATTAGTTGATTGTTAATCTTATTAACTGATTGTTAGTTGACAAAAACTTGTTTTAAGCTAATAAAATTAATAAAACTAATTTTATAATATTTCATTCATTTTGTTAACTGACTATTAATTGACTGTTACTTAAGAAAAACTTACTTTCAGCTAATAGAGTTAACAGGCAGTATAGAGTGAGAGTTATTTTTTTCGATTTTAATAGATGAATAGTTAAAACCTACAAATCTAGTAAAGTGATGGGTTAAAGTATTATAATATAAAGTAAAGGGTTAAAACTTTCAAACTTGGTAAGGTGAGGGGCTAAAAGTAGATTTTTTCCATTATATAAATGTGGAACAGTGTTTTTATGGAACGATGGTCACTCTCCCTTGAATTGCTTACTGAATCAAAGGTTAAAATGATCTTCAGCCAGGGTTTCAGTGTGTTTGGTGACTGATCTTTCAAGTTGTCATTTATATCGATTCATTCCTAATGCTGAAATGCTGTCCAAACTTGAAGAAAGAGGTGCCTAGTTTTCTACCTCGAACAATAAATCAATATCTCCTACCTGGTTCCGGACATTGAAAAAAAAAAAAGGAAAAAAAAAAAGGAAGAAAAGAAGACAAAATCTCTTATTTACACCTTGTACATTATTATTTTTCATGGTTAATACTCTGCATAGTTTGAAATTCACAAAAAAAAACCTTAAATTATCAACGAAATTAAAGTATAAATAAGATATTTGATTGATAATTTTTTAATTTGTTATGAATTTTAAATTATAAAGAGTGTTAATTGAAAATAAAAAATTTTATAAGTATTAATTGTAAAAAAAATAATACATAAGATGTAAAAAAGGAATTAAAAAATAAATAAATAAACAAGGGAAGAGGAAAGAACTAATGAAATGAAAAGGTTAAATCCCCGATTCAGTCCCTCAACTTTGATTTTTTAACTAAATTTACCCTCAAACTTCAAAAAGTACTAAAAAAATCCTTGAACTTCAATTTTCGAGACCAATTTCGTCCTTCCATTGACGGAAGTGCCAGATGGCATGTTAATGTTAAGTTGCCACGAAATCAATTCATGTTTGAAATCTTTAATTATGTGGAAAAAAAATTTAACTCATTATTATCCACATCATTTTAATTAATTTATATATTAAAAAATTTTAAATTCCTTAAATACCCCATCTTCATCTTCCATCCCCTCCTGTCTCTCTCTATCCTCAGATGTCTCCTCAGATGTCTCCTCATCTTGCAACCCAATCAGTACCGATCATCCCTTATTGCTCCGGTCATCCCTCATTGCTCCGATCATCTATTACTACTCCAATCACCATCTATTTTTTCTCCAAACCTCCTCTCTAATAGAACCCAAATCTGGTTCCTCGCACAATAATAATGACCAATAAATCTGATTCAAAAAATCAATTCCTTTGCAAATGTATACCAGATTTGTAAAGGAAAATGTAAAAAACACAACATCCCTTCAATCAACACCAACAGTAACTAGATCTTGAAATTCAAGCAATCAGAAGCCACACAAAACTCTAAATCTCATACTAAGATAGCTAAGCATAACTACAGCCAACAAAGAAACAAAAGAAAAAACCCAAGCGGGTTTGACTCAAACCCAAGCCCTGGGTTCAGAACCTAGGCGTGCTGGGTTAAACCCAGGCGTTGGGTTCAAAGGAACCTAGGGCCTAGGTTCAAGAAAACCGCGCCAAGGTTCGAGGAACCCAAGCGCTGGTGCTGGGTTCCTTCGAACCTAGTAGGGAGGGGAAGGAGAAAAGGAAAGAGAAGGAGAAAAAAAAAGGAAAGGAAAGAAAAAAGAAAGAAAGGAAATTTTTATTTATTAAATTATATTTTTGGTGCCAAGTCACAATATTTTTATA